TATTGTTTCACTTAAAAAGTATCTTCATTTTAAAACTACACCAGCAGCAAAATTAATGATGCTTATTATGGATCAAAAATATCTTCCTGACACCATTTATAATACTAATAAATACTTATAAAAAGTATATATCGTAATTTGTCGGTATAGAGAAAAATAAATCAGATGTGCAAAAGTATTCAAGAGATTATGTATGCATTAAAATTATTTATTTTTTTTATGTTAAAACAAATCGATTAAAACCCAAATAATTTTAATTAAGAAAGTTTCTTATATAAATTGTCACTTTACCGGGTATTAATGGTAACTTATTCAACTTATTCTGCGCACGCGTACCTAGGGAAGAAGAAGTATTTAGCAATATTTTCGTTATTGGACATATTGAAATTATTTTTACCTTTAATTTTCTCCATAAAAATAGATTTTTTATCTGAAACCTATAATTACTGCACCTTAAACTTTTAGGAATTGAACAAAATTTACTCGGGTCATGCAAAAATTCTACGTTTGTCAATTTTCCCCTTTGTGCGTCACGGTGTCTCTTTAACTAATCAGTACAAATAGAACAGATGCAAAATAGTATAAAATAGGGATCGGTCTACTTAGTAGATTCATTCACTTTTGGTGTAAGTGTTTTCTGAGTTAGGTGACTTGCCAGTTGGGAAGGGTACCTGGGCTGTGTCGGAAAACAACAGAATTGTTAGTTAGACCACTCAGCCCAGGGACCAAGTATAACCAACAATGCCGTTGTTTCCTGACACCGCCTGAAAGTACCCCAAAACACACCCCATACATCTCAAAATCACAGAGACACCTTAGGTCACACAGACACAAGCTAAATTAAGTCACCGAGACACCATAGCTATTATCAAGTCACTGTATCACTTTTGGTTAGACACAACTAAAGTCACCGAGACAAAAACAAGTTCCCAAGTGTCTTTGAGACTAGCTATGTTGTCTCCGTGACTTTAGCTTGTGTCTAACCAAAAGTAATACAGTGTCTTGATGATAGCTTGATTACATTTACTGCTAAAGGACAAATATATTGACAAAAACGCAGCTTTGAACGGAATCTTATTTCTGTATAATTTAAAAGTTCCGTAAATTGAAGTGCAATTTTCTAATACCTGGTTATGCCGCTTACCTCCTCGGAAGTGAGGAAATACAAGATGAAATTTTGTTTGTTTAGTTACTTTGATAAAAATTATCCGTATGTTTAAAACCCTGGTTGTGCATGCTAAATATTTGTTGCATTATTTTTATACAAAGAATTCATATTAAGAATACCTTAAATTAATTGGGGAAAAGGCACATTGTATGTACATGTACTGCTGTACGACGTTCAACAGATTATACAGATAACGCTCAAACCTGCAATTCAGAAATGAAAGAAATATATTAATTCACCAGAAAGGGACATACAGTGTATGTATGGACCAATCGAAAATATTAGATAAAGAGATTGTTTCCCATTTATCATAAACGTTACAAGAAACCTCTTTTGACATAAATATTAAATACACATTTCTGAATTGCAGGTTTGAGCATTTTAGGTTTGAAATGAAATAAATTTCTTTGACAATTTCAACTTACAGGTAGAAGAGATTCTCGAGCCACAGAGTATTAATGACGCAACAATTAAAACAATAATGGATACCTTTGAAAACCAGATTTCCCTGGCTAATTCAATGGATCCCGAAAAAAGAAAACAGTCAAATCTTCTATATGGGAGTGTACTTATGTACGACATCTTTTCAAAGGGGATGGTAAAAATACTTTGATATTTTAAACAAATAGGAGGAATCAATTAACAAAAACAGAAGATGCTTTGAGATTGAAATAAGTTCTACTTCAATGTGTCCGTTTTATGAAATAACTTGTATTATTCTGTAGGGAAATGATACAACTTCGGACACTGTCGCTGTGTTTTTCTGTAGTAAATAGTGCTTTCAACGATCTAAATCTTTCTGACGTAGAGAAAGGTGATTGCATCGATCTAGATCTCGTATTATTTTGTAGAAATCTGTAATTTCACTCGTTTAGATCTTATTTCTGTTAAAAACGATGATTGTATCGACCTAGATCTTTACATTATTTTGTATTTTACGCTTCCATCAGTCTAGGTAACATACATTTCTGCAGAGAACAAGTTTATCACACTAAAAGGTAAAGATCTCTGTATTCTAGCTTTAAACAATGCTAAGTAAAGGAGAAAGTCCGAAAACTGTCCATTCTGTGAGAAAAAGAACTGTTCGAGGCCCGAAGGGCTGAGAATAGTTTTTTCTCTCACAGGATGGACAGTTTGAGGACTTTATCCTACTTAAAACATTTTCTATATTGCTAACTTAATAAACTGTCCCAGGTAATGGTTATGTATTTCCTATGATTACGTAACACACTTGATTGTCCAGAGAGTTGGGGTGAAAACAATAGCTGTATTGTTTAACTTAATGGACGATGCCTGGTAAATTTAGATTTAAATGATAGCTCACTTGATTTCTGACCACTTCCCATGTAAAGCTTCATGAGTGAAGATGTCCTCATCGGATGGAGAAAGTAATACATATTTCTCCAAAATACGGGCCAAAGGGTGGTAAATACTCTACAGTAGGTAGACACAAGCAGAAGCTTGTTGGTTTGCAGATTCTGAAGTTGGTGTCCAAGTTTTGACAAAAACTATCGCAAATCTTTTTTAACAATCAGGATTTAAGGACACTGTGATACGAAACATTCTTTGAGAGCAACAACGGCGACCCTCTTGTATGAAGTTTGAGGAAACAGTTTATAACAGAAAAACGGGCCACAAATCTATTACAGTTTGATCCTACAATTGAACCAACAATAAATAGCAGCAGAGAGTAAATGGAATAATTCATGGAAATATGAGGGATTAAGATTATGGCAAGTGTATGAAAAGATAAAATTTGTGATCTCTGTCCCAAAAATGAATTCACGTGCAGTGCATCTAGTGAGATTATCATTCCATCTGGAAATAAGCCTTTTTCTTTTAAAATTTAAATTGCTGTTGGATATATTTTAAACATTCATGGAATGGATCTACCACGTCCAGCATTCATTTACAAATTTTGTGAAGAGGATGAGACGTTTGTTTTTTAATAAAGAAACTTCCGAATGTGGATGTTCTAGAGTTATTAAGCATCAGGATTTACACATGTGACTTTTTTGCATTGGATTTGTCATTTCCAAAGATGATATACTGTTGAACATTTCATATAAAATTGTTTGATATTTATGCATGATTGTGCGTTAAATTAAAAATTTAATTGCCTACTTTAATTATGTATTGTTTTCAACATTTAAAACCTGTACATTAAGTTACCTTTAATTGTACATTAAGTTGACAAAACGCTGTCTGTTCTGCCACAGGATTGGAAGAAAAACGCCCAGCAGTTTTCATACTTTATTAAACTTGTAGCATGACGTATTACGACGTTACGATGTTACGGTAACAACTAAAATAACAAAACAATATTTTACTTATAATTAGAAAATTTAGAATTCACACTCATACAATATCTTACACACTATGCCAAAAAGTCAAAGTTTTCCGAAAAATGATAGAAAATAATTTTATACACATACAAACAAACTCTACAAATAAGAAAAAACACATACATCGTTGCGCCTTTGCACCACGGAACCAGTGAGCGTCCCAGACGCTGTTGGGGGAAAATGTCGATGGACTGCGACCCAGTCGCACGAGAAAAAATGTCTACCCCAGACAGTTTAACATAAACCGGAAGAAGACGGCGCAGCATAAATGACGAACCGAAAACGGCACTGAGAATTCCGGTGGCGTCACACTCCCCGCCTGACGTTTCTTAACGTCACTCTTTTGATGGTGTAAACAGGTGTACAATCTCGGTAATAGGTCTCACACAAGTAATACAGGTTTCTTTTCTAATAGTGTGTAGTTCCACTTTCCGAACATGTCCGTCCTTACTCGGGAAAGTTCGTTGAACGACTGCCATGGGCCATTCGTATCTTACAGTATCTGAATCCTTTAAAAGCACTACATCATCAACTTTGATGTTCTCCTTAGCACAAGTCCACTTTCGCCTGCTTTGAAGACTGTTAAGGTACTCTTGCTGCCATCGTTTCCAAAACTGGTTGGCTAAAACTTGAGTGTGTTTCCATGATGATTTGTACATGTCCTTCACATCAATTGCTTGAAATGGTCCATAATCGACGTCAGTCTTTTGTGTCAGCAATACTGAAGGGGAAAGAACTGATGGTTGTGTTGGATCCACAGACACATTAGCTAATGGCCGACTGTTGATGATAGCACAAACCTCGTACATAAAAGTATTCAAAACATCATGTGTAAGCGGTTTCTTTGACTCCATGATGATTGCGTCTAAAATTCTGCGAGCTGTTCCAATGATCCTTTCCCATATCCCTCCCATATGGGATGCATATGGTGGGTTAAATATCCAAGTAGATCCATTTTCCACCATAAACTTCTTCACTGTTTGAGACTCTATGTTGATAGCATGAATGTTAAGTGCATCTGTACTTCCCACAAAATTAGTCCCTCTGTCAGAATGAAATTCGGTGACCTTGCCACGTATTGCTATAAAACGTCTTAGGGAATTGATGAAGGCACTGGATGACATCTCGTCCACCAGTTCAATATGCACTGCTCTGCTCGTCAAACACGTGAATAAGATTCCCCATCTTTTAGAATTAGCAACTCCTCCTCTTGTTTTCCTAGCTGTTACCTCCCAGGGACCAAAGGTGTCGACTCCCACATAAGTGAATGGTGGTGATGGTTTGCATCGGAAATCAGGTAAGTTGCCCATTTTTTGTGTTTCTACTTTGCGTCGTAACTTTCTACAAATTACACAAGAGTATAATAATGATGATATAAGTCTCTTGGCACCCATGACCCAATAACCTGCAGATCTTACAGCACCTTCTGTAATGTGACGTCCTTGGTGTTTAGATTTCTGATGATAGTGTTCTATAAGTAATCGTGCCACATGCGACTTTTTTGGAACAATAATTGGTCCGTTAGCTCCGGCTAACACGTCTCCAGTGAGAATCCTGCCTCCTACTCGAAGCAGACCTTCATTATCCAGATATGGGTCCAGACTTTGTAGCGGACTACCTTTAGTGACTGGTTTATGCTCTTTAAGTCTCTCTATATCCTGCCCATAAGCTTCAAACTGTGCACTTTTGATCACAATCTTTTCCATACTTTGGTAAAGCTTTGTTTGACTGAGCTCTTGAAGTTTGAGTTTCTGGCGAATAGCGCTACGCATGAATGATAGTCCTCGAATTAAAGAGTTCCAGGTTGAAAATCTTGTGAACATGTTTGTGTTCAATTCATGAAATATATTTGTTTTTACGACAGTGACAGTCTTTTTGATTTCACAGTCATTATCTGGGTCCAATAATGGGTAATTTGAAGAATCTTGTTGGTTATGATCCAAAATAGTCTTTGGCCCTGTTAACCATGAAGATGATGCAAGTTCATTTGCAGGAATAGAACGTGTTCCTACATCAGCTGGATTCTGGTCTGATGTCACAAAGGTCCACTGCTCTGACTTTGAATTGGTTAGTATCCGTTGGACTCGGTTTGACACATATGTATGAAATCTCCTGGTCTTGTTGTATAGGTAGCCTAAAACAACACGACTGTCAGTGTAAAACCTCATGTCATGAATCTGAATATCAAGTTGGCTTTCAACAAATGAAGAAATCTCAGTAGCAAGGAGAGCGGCACAGAGTTCCAGTCTTGGGACTGTATGACCATGATGAGGGGCCAGCTTAGATTTTCCAGTCACGAATCCTAGGTAAGTTGTTCCCTTGTTTATAACCTTGATATATGTGACAGCAGATATAGCCTTAACTGACGCGTCTGCAAAGGTGTGGAGCTCAATCCTTTCAGCACTCTTTAAAGATACTGGTACATATCGTCTCGCTATCTTCACATTGCAAAGGTGATGAAGAGAGCTTCGCCAGGACCGCCAGCGCAGAAGTATGTCCTTAGGAAGAGGATCATCCCATCCAATTTGAAGTTGCGTAATGTCCCGAAAAATAAATTTTCCGGCCAAGATGACGGGTGACAGGAATCCTATAGGATCATACAAGCTGTGTAAACAAGATAACACACCTCGCTTAGTTTCTGGAACATCTTTGAGATCTGTTGGAAAGGTAAATACGTCCAGTGATAAATTCCAACTTAGACCCAAACTACTCTGTGTAGGCGTTGTATGTAGATCTAAATGTACATCACTCAAATCTTTTGCTCTGTCCTCTGGTGGTAAAGAATCCATGACAATTTGGCTGTTGGAAGCGAATTTGTGAAATCTAATTTTGCCTCTATCTCTTAGAATCTGCTGTGTCCGTAACAGGATTTCTAAAGCTTCATTGTCTGCGTCATAAGATGACAGTCCGTCGTCAACATAAAAGTTTCTTGTAACATAATATTTCACATCATTATCACAAGGTTCCTCTACGCATCTGTGAAGACAGTATGTGGCGACAGAGGGCGATGGTGAATTCCCGAATAGATGTACACACATTCTGTAGTCTTGAAGAGGCTTAGCAGGGTCATTGTCTCTAAACCAAATGAAACGAACGAAATTTCTGTGTTCTTTGTCGATGTGAAACATATGAAACATCTGTTCTATATCTCCTGTGATGGCTACACGTTCCTTGCGAAAACGTAAAAGGACACCTTGTAGATTGTTAGTAAGATCTGGTCCTTGTAGCAAAGAAGAGTTCAATGAATGTCCTTGATAAATAGCCGAAGAGTCAAAAACCATTCGGATCTTGTTAGGCTTTTTGGGATGAAATACTGGAAAGATAGGAAGATACCAACATTCCTCTCCCTCCTGAACCTCTGGAGCTTCCTCTGCGAATCCATGAGAAAACACATTTTCCATAAACTTTATGGCTAAGTTCATTTTCACATGATCACGTTTAAAAGACGTCAGCAATGAATATGTCCTTTTCAATGCTTGCTCTTTGTTGTTAGGTAGTCTATCCCTATTGGACTTGAATGGTAAAGGAGCTGACCAATGTCCGGTCTCGTCTTTATGGCACTTTTTCTCCATGATTTCTAAGAATTCCCTGTCCTCGATTGACATTCCCGGAATGTTATCGTCTTTGGTGCGGTCAAAAATCTGGGAAAGCTGAATTCCCTTCTCATTTGAAAAATGATTGTCTATATCATCTTCATACGTTGAGATTCTTAGATTTGATGAGCATGGGGTAAAGTGAGTTCCTCGTCCAGATGGTAAAATCAGAGTCTTGTTCACAACCACATGTTGAGGTCTATGTACTTTGCTTAGGCAACATTCCCCTATAACGGCCCAGCCTAAAGGAAGTCGCTGTGCGAAAGGTAGATTTGGATTACCAATCCTTTGCTCCAACACATGATGAGCATTGGGAACATCACGTCCAATAAGAAGCACTTCCGCTTCATCGTCTATTGATGGGATCTCAGACTCCAAGTCTGATAAATGTTTGTATGGTTTCACTACAGCTGGGGTTGGGATCTCCTCGTATGATATTGGGATGTCATCACATTCAATAATTGATGGTAAGTATATTTGTTCACCACTGTGTATTGAAGATACCACGTAATCAAAGGCCTGTCTCCCTGAGACCATGGCTGAACCACTGCATGATGACAATGTATATGAAATGTCTTGTCCCTGGATTCCAAAGTTGTCAAAAAATGATGACTTTGCGAGTGTCTTGCTGCTTTGATCGTCAAGGATCACATAAGCTCTTTTCTTTAGATCTTCTCGACCAACTGGAAAAATGTTCACTAAGATAATCTTTGCACAGGATTTGCCACTGAATGCAGGCGAACAGACTTGAGTACAGTTTGTTGTAAAAGATGATGGTATACTGTTCTCCCTGACATGCGAATTCTCCTTATCCTCCCCGCCCTGGGAACTGTTAACATGTAAGGCACCACAATGTTTGTCACTTTGACACACCTCACACTTAAGCTTCACGTTACAGTCTCGCGCTAAGTGTTCCTTGGAATCACAACATCTGAAACAAATTCCGTTTTCCTTGAGAAGCTTTTTCCTGGAACCAATAGGAAGGGTACGAAACTTACGACAGTCTTTGATATTGTGATTTGATTCAACTCTATGTTCTAAAAGACACGGTTTTCTTTGTCCTGTTGACTTGCTATATAATGTGGAGAAGGGTGATAACTCCGTCTAGATGTGTATTATTCTGCATTATTCCGCAGAGATCGGTGATCACTCCGTCTTGATGTGTATTATTCTGTAGAGATCGGTTATCACTCCGTCTAGATGTGTATTATTCTGTAGAGATCGGTTATCACTCCGTCTAGACGTGCATTATTCCGCAGAGATCGGTGATCACTCCGTCTTGATGTGTATTATTCTGTAGAGATCGGTTATCACTCCGTCTAGATGTGTATTATTCTGTAGAGATCGGTTATCACTCCGTCTAGACGTGCATTATTCCGCAGAGATCGGTGATCACTCGGGTGATTACCCCGTCAAGACGTGTATTATTCTGTACAGAGAACGGTGATTACCCCGTCAAGACGTGTATTATTCTGTAGAGAACGGTGATTACCCCGTCAAGACGTGTATTATTCTGTAGAAATCGGTGATCATGCACTCCGTCTAGATGTGTATTATTCTGTATAGAGAACGGTGATAACTCCGTCAAGACGTGTATTATTCTGTAGAAATCGGTGATTACTCCGTCTAGATGTGTATTATTCTGTAGAGAACGGTGATAACTCCGTCAAGACGTGTATTATTCTGTAGAGAACGGTGATTACCCCGTCAAGACGTGTATTATTCCATAGAGAACGGTGATGACTCCGTCTAGACGTGTATTATTCTGTAGAAATTGGTGATTACTCCGTCTAAATGTGTATTATTCTGTATAGAGAACGGTGATCACTCCGTCTAGATGTTTATTATTCTGTATAGAGAACGGTGATTACCCCGTCAAGACATATATTATTCTGTACAGAGATCGGTGATTACCCCGTCAAGACGTGCGTGTATTATTCTGTAGAGAACGGTGATAACTCCGTCAAGACGTGTATTATTCTGTAGATATCGGTGATCACTCCGTCTAGATGTGTATTATTCTGTAGAGATCGGTGATCACTCCGTCAAGACGTGTATTATTCTGTAAAGAGAACGGTGATTACCCCGTCAAGACGTGTATTATTCTGTAGAGAACGGTTATCACTCCGCCTAGACGTGTATTATTCTGTAGAGATCGGTGATCACTCCGTCTAGATGTGTATTATTCTGTATAGAGAACGGTGATTACCCCGTCAAGACGTGTATTATTCTGTACAGAGAACGGTGATTACCCCGTCAAGACGTGTATTATTCTGTAAAGATCGGTGATTACTCCATCTAGATGTGTATTATTCTGTATAGAGAACGGTGATACTCCGTCTAGATGTGTATTATTCTGTAGAAATCGGTGATTACTCCGTCTAGATGTGTATTATTCTGTATAGAGAACGGTGATTACTCCGTCTAGATGTGTATTATTCTGTAGAGAACGGTGATTACTCCGTCTAGATGTGTATTATTCTGTAGAGAACGGTGATTACTCCGTCAAGACGTGTATTATTCTGTAAAGAGAACGGTGATTACCCCGTCAAGATGTGTATTATTCTGTATAGAGAACGGGGAATACCCCGTCAAGACGTGTATTATTCTGTAGAGAACGGTTATCACTCCGCCTAGACGTGTATCATTCTGTAGAGATCGGTGATCACTCCGTCTAGATGTGTATTATTCTGTTTAGAGAACGGTGATCACTCCGTCTAGATGTGTATTTTTCTGTAGAGAACGGTTATCACTCCGCCTAGACGTGTATTCTGTAGATATCGGTGATTATTCCTTCTAGATGTGTATTTATCTGTAAAGAACGGTGATTACTCCGTCAAGACGTGTATTACCGGTATTCTGTAGAAATCGGTGATTACTCCGTCTAGATGTGGATTATTCTGTATAGAGAACGGTGATCACACCGTCTAGACGTGTATTATTCTGTAGAGATCGGTTATCACTCCGTCTAGATGTGTATTATTCTGTAGAGAACGGTGATTACTCCGTCTAGACGTGCATTATTCCGTAGAGATTGGTGATAACTCCGTCTAGATGTGTATTATTCTGTAAAGAACGGTGATTACCCCGTCAAGACGTGTATTATTCCATAGAGAACGGTGATTACTCCGTCTAGACGTGTATTATTCCGTAGAGATCGGTGATGACTTCATCTAGGTGTGTATTATTCTGTATAGAGATCGGTGATAACTCCGTCTAGATGTGTATTATTCTGTAAAGAACGGTGATTACTCCGTCTAGACGTGTATTATGCCGTAGAGATCGGTGATGACTTCATCTAGGTGTGTATTATTCTGTAGAGAACGGTGATCACTCCGTCTAGATGTGTATTAATCATCTTGGAAAGGTGATTTTATCTTTGTCTATATTCTGTAGAAAACGGTGATTACATCGGTCTAGATCTTTGTATAACTTTATAGAGAGCAGTGATAAAGGTGATTTCACCGGGTTAGATCTTCAATTATACTGAAGTGAAAGGTTATTTTATCGACCATTGTCTTTTCTCTGTAGAGAATGGTGATTATACCCCACGCAACTAGTTGCGTGAGGTATAATGTTTTTGACCCGTCCGTCAGAGTGTCAGTCAGCTAGAGTGTCAGTCAGAGTGTCAGTCAGTGAGTCCTTTTTTTTTGGTCAGCGCAACTCCTCATAAACCGCTGCACAGAATTTCGACAAAGGATCACTTCATTATAAATAGGGATTTGACCTATAGGACCGGGCTTGGTTTTTTCTCTACAAAAACCTTGTCGATTTCCGTTCTGATTAATGGCATTAGGCTGAATACATATAACAATTTGTTTTTCCTAAATCTTTTTTTCAGCGAGTAGAGGTATGAGGAACCCTTTTATTGATTTCCTGAGTTTGTTATCTCAAAATGTAATAAATGATATTTGTCTTAACTTCTCAATAAGCATAATGGTTATGTTTACTGCCTCTGAAATTCTATTCTTTATGTTTAGGCAATTTTATCCCTGAATGTAGTAAAACATTCCATTAATGTGTGCAAATTGTATAGGACTAAATCAAATCCGAGGAGTACAGTTACTGATATGTATGTAACCAAAATCAATGTTATAAAATCCTAAGGAATATATATAATTGACATTCATCGCAACTCAATGCTGCCAAATGTACCTGTATTAAGTAACACAGAGCGAGTTATTCTTGTCCTCGCAGAAAGTGTGCTTATTCTGAGGTTTGTTCCGCCTGACTGACAACTGTACATTGGATTTTTACGATTTGATATCTCTTTAGTGTTTCTTATATCAAGAATGGGCATGCATAAAGGATATATAATTGAAGGAAAATACACAAATCTATAAAAAATATTAAAATAGTCTTTGAAAAGGCGAAAATTAAAAAATTTAAAAGTGTGGCCCGGGTGGATTCGAACCCCCGACTTTAAAATTTTAGTAAGCACGCTGTATTAGTCAGCGTATATATCAACTGAGCTAGTCTGACTATGGCATTTATTGGTATAAATTTGAAGCAGATTATCAAAATCAGATTTCCTTATTTTTTGTAGGTTTTTTGTGAATTTCGACCCTAGGGCAGGGGTGCCCCTAAAAAATCCTATCTTGAATTAATCCTTACATCCAAACCTATCAAAATATCACAATTTTATTTAGGGGCAGGCCTGCCCTGAAGGACTTCTAGGCCAAAATTCATGCAAAAATCAACGCTTTATCGGACAAAATGGTGTTTTGGCCAACTTTGGAGGTTTATTGTAAAGTTATAAATAATAAATTTTAGGTATAAAATACAAATTTGAAAAATTTAGACATATATACGGTAGAAAACAACAAATAAAGATTAATTATTCAATGTCACTTTTTCCGGGAAATTGTTCTCTCCTATAGGTCAATTCTTTTGTCAAAGCGAATACATCCTTTGCAGGTATTTAGGACACAATGTGTAGATGTGCATATTACCAGGAAATTCCGATTCCTTATCTTTTCCGGGAATTTCCGCACTAAAAACTTAGGTTTTTGGCCATACGTTTTATATAGAGATGAA